GGCGGGCGGGGGACGGGGCGGGCGGCTGGGGGCGGAGGAAGGACCTCCTGTACCTTCCCTCCTCGCCTCTCACTCTGACAGCGCCGAGGTGCGCCGATCGGGAGCGGGGAACAAAGGAGCGGCGTGGGGAGGGGAGCGCGCCGGGCGAAGCGAGAGCCCCCGGCCGGCTGCCAGGAGGTCCCGGCGGGAGGAAGCCCAAGTGTCACTTGAATTCCGCCCAAGAAGCGGGCGCCTGCGACCCGAGCGCCGGGGCCGCACTCACTGCTGCAGCTCGTCCTGCAAGTTCCCGGAGCGCCCTCCGGGGAGGAGGACAGCCGCTGGCCCCCGGGCTCTCCGCTCCCTGCCCGCGCCCCCGACACCCCGGCGGTGCCCCGCGCTGGAAGGGGAGCTCCAGGATGAAGAGCAAGAAAGGTAAGGCTCCGCCGGCTGCCGCCCCGCGGGCGCGTGTCCCGGGGCAGCGTGCGCGCCGGCCGGGCTCGGGGCGAGAGTGACTTTGGGGACTTGCCAGCCCCGCGCTCCCCGGCTGGGACCGCGCCGGCCCCTTTGTTGAGGCCGCGGCTGAAACGGCAGTGGCCGCGCTCCTTCTAGACACAGCACGAGGGGCGGTGGTGGGGAGACGGGCCTCTCCACGCTGCTGGCACGTTGTCAAGAAACACGCTCGCCGCCTTGTTTGTGCGCCTCCAACTTTCATTGTCTCAGCCCACGCCCCTCGCTTCCCGAGTCGCCGCGTGGCTTCTCGCGGGTTCTCCGGGGCGGGGGGTTCTGAGGGCCCTACTCCAGGGGTACCCCCCCGCGCCCCGCTTTCCCGTCGCGACCGGCGGCAGCCAGGAGCGCCTTTGTCTGAAAGTTGGGCTTGGATTCCGGGGTTTCCCCCCCGCCCCAGCTGGGCCCGGGCACTCTCTTCTCGGGGGCTGGGGGTGTTTTCACAATCAAAAGGAATGCGGCTGCGGCCCCCGGGTCGCCCTCGGGGGTGGGAAACGCCGGGAAGCGGGTCTGGGACATTCCCGGCCGCTCCAGGTTTTCCCACGGAGAGTGCGGGGCGGGATGGAGAGTTAGGGCCGCGGGCAGGCAGCCCGCGTCCGACAAGCAGGCTTGGTTGTAAGTGCAGAGCGAGGCTGTCATTGTTTCCACGAAACGTTCTGGAAGCCGTACAACTAAAACTTGCCGGCAGTCTGGCTTAAAAACAAAACACACACGAGAGAGAAGAAGGAAAAAAAAAGGCCTGCCACCACGAAAGGTCAGAAATGTTCGCTCCCTCTCGAAGTGAACTTTTGAGCCCCTGGCGGGGGGGAGGGGGTACCCCGAATGTTCCGTCGTGGGCCCCGTGGGCTTTTCTGTTGTGATTTATGCGAAGTGGCTCAAAACAGAAGTTAGTCGCTGGGGAAGCCGCGGGGGAGGGGGCGCCGCGCGCAGGCGCAGGAGCGCGCGGAGTTTCCGCGGCCCCGCATTCTTCCAGGCGGCCCCGCGGGGACAGTTAGAACAATACGGGCCGAACGCCGCCCCCCGCCCGGCCCTGCCCGGCCCGCCCCGGGGTGCTGTGCTCGGGCTGCCGGCCGGGGCCTTGGAAACTCGCCTCACCTCGTGCTGCACGCGTCCGAGTCGGGGCTTTCGTAGCGGTTGGGAGTCGGCGCCCAGCGACCCCCCTCCAGGGACAGTGACAACTCGGCGCGGACAAGTTTGGCCACGTAACGGCGCGGGGAGCACGCGGCGGCCGCCCCTGAAGGCCATGTCTACTCGGGGAGGACTGACAGGTCTGGACCCGGCCCGGAGGGACTCTCCCGCGGCGTCGGGACCCCCTGGGATAAGTTGGGGTGTTGGGGGGGGGTGAAGAGTGGTACTGGTGAGCCCACTGCAAAGCTGGGCTTCCGCAGGGGCCCGGCGCCCCGCATTGTTCGGGCTCTGGTGGGGGAAGCGTTGTAGCTTCCCCGACCCA